ACATCGATAACGCTGAAATGCACTTCAACCCAAACTTATGGAATTCTTCCAAAATGCTAACTTCCACAATAGGCGCCAAAATGCTCCCGGGTCATCCAAAACCCAATCCGAACATACACCCAAGTCCGAAATTATCATACGAATATGTTGGAACCTTCAAATCCTAATTCCGAGGTCGTTTACACAAAATGTTGACCGAAGTCAAACTTAGCCTTTTAAGCCAACCTTAAGGAACCAAGTGTTTCGATTTCAATCCAAACTCTTTCAAATCCCGAATCAACCATCCCCGCAAGTCATAAATCAGTAAAAGCAAGTAACGGAAGTCTTATTTAGGGGAAGGAGGTTCTAAAAAGCAAAACGACCAGTCGGGTCGTTACATCCATGGTTTAACCACCATCTGTTTTTTGTCAAACATTCTAATTCCTTTCTCCACCACCTTCTCCTTGTTCTCCAGTGAGTAAAATCTTACTATGAACACACCTCTGTTCACCTGGTTTATTTTATCTATCCCCAGTGATCCCCATACTCTTTTGAAGTAGCCTTCCATAACTGTTTCTGGTGGATTTGAACCTAGGACGTAGCAAATTACTGCAGATCTCCAGTAGATTATCTCATCTTTTATGTATTCCATTGTGATTTTCACATTTTCCCTCAATTGTTCCCCTTCCTTTCCGGTAAGGTCATACCCTTCACTCTATTCCCCTTTCCCTACAATTCCACTCCAATTTTCCCCTATTTTTGGTATTTTTGCATGGCTTTGTTTTCCTATTGATTCTGATTCACTTACCTCTTCCTCCGTTTGATCTGCCCATGATTTTGTTGTCGTCGTGTTCTCCACCATTGTTGATGTCGATGCCAATGTTCTATACAAATCTAATGGAGCTATACCTTGAATTGCATTGACATTTCGAAATTTCTTTGCCTTCGATGACATTGGAACTTTTTTTAGGTCTCTTCCGGTTGTATTGAGCTGTACGATACTCCCTCCTCCTCCAGATTTTGCTTTCCTCACCATATCAGCTGCTGCTGAGAGGAGAGCTCATGTTCTAGAGAGAGAAAGTTTTATTTCCATAATACTACCAATACTACTACTAATTACCTATAATTTAAGTAATACAATATGCAAGATGTGTGAAGATCGCCCCCTCATTTGACTTTTCTCTCCGTACAAGGCGATTTGTCGCTACACTGCTAGTTCCGACGTTAAATGGACGGTTCTCAGCCGTGCACCGGTGAAATTCCACCGGACCTGTCCCCAAAGAAGCGTCTCATCAAGGCGCATAAACCACCCAAACCAGCTTCTCCAAACAAATCCCCAGCTGCTACGAATCGACGAAGAGGTGAGGCGATCACTGTAGCACGCAGTCGACTGGGAGCGTCAAAAAATTCCCAAGTAAATTCTGGGACAAAATCTGGGATTCCACCTCGTGGAGGACGATCATAATCACAAAAGGGACCCCTCCTCCAAAAATTAGCCATTGCCACCGAAGGAATAAACCCCAAGGATCAGAAGAAAATTTCAGCAAACACAAAGCTAGCTGGAGATGAAATGTTTGCTGGCCAACCTGGGCAAGGAGGATACCAAATTGCTAGTAATGATACGGACATCAGTCTACACCCCTCAATTTTGTATGGGTATCAATCCACTTCATCAATTTTGAAATCCTTGAACGCGGGCAGTCAAAATGTTTCAGAAGCTCAAAAAAATGCTAATCTCAATTCTGCACAAATTCGACTGCAACCAATGACTGGAAATCTCTCCTCATCTCCTAAGGAACTGGTAAGCAAAACTTTAAATCATTCTAATATCACAAGTGATCAACTTGATCAACTGAAAAGCCCAGCTCTGCAACTTCTGGCCGGACATGATGCTCCGGTGAACCAATTACCCCAAAACCAATGCCAAACTACTTCTGATGTTCAAAAGATTGATTCCCAATCCTCAAAACTAATTTTACCTGAGCCAAACCTATCGAATATCCAAAATAGTGAACCTGCAGTCACTGAGCTGCTGAGTGTTCGACCAAATGCCAATGAGACTTCTGTTGTTCAAAAGGGATTTCAAAGTGTTGTTCATGCATCACAAGATCACCAGAAAACTGATCGTCTAAAGAGCCTCCATGCCCCTAGTCAAAAACACAGTGATCCACTCTCTTCTGCCTCATCAGAGAAACAACTGACTGTCAATGGGGATCCTACCCAAGGTACTCAATTGCTTGTGCAATCTATTTCCCATTCCCCTGAAAACAGAATGGAAATGGAGGGTGAAGGAAAGGGTGCAGTTACTAGTCCAAATGCCAATAATGTCACCCCTCCTGTTGTTCCCTCTTCTATGCAACTAACAGGTACCAATAAGCCTTTAACCAATCAACTGCCTCAAAACCAATCCAATCCAAATCCAACTCCTAATACTAATGCCTCTCTCAAGATCTCATCCAACTTTGATAGACCTACCAACACCAAAAAATCTCAAAAACCTACTGCAAATAACAGTCCTCCAATTAGCCAACCTATAAAATAGGCCCCTCCAAATATCAACCCCACTCCTTAATCCAGTAACCCCCCTAATCCAAACAAACCTGCTGGCAGCTCTCCTCCCCCACCTCCTACTGTCACCCACTCTTTTGTTAATAGACTCAGAGCCAGGCATGAAGCAGAGATAGAGCCAATTGCCTTCNGATTGAATACCTTTTCCTGGGCTTCTGATTTAGCAGAGCCTCAATTCAACAATTGAAAGACTCTAAAAACTACTCAAATGTTCACTTACGGAGTCTTAAGGACTCGGGGATTCAGCAGATTACTGGGTTCACAAAGAAAGAATCTCCTCTTACATACTTGGGATGTCCTCTGTATACAGGAAGAAAGAGGATTGTTCATTTCAACCCCATCATTTCCAAAGTTGTGAGCAGAATTAGAGGTTGGCATGGTAAACTCTTATCATATGGGGGCAGAGCTACTTTGATTAAACATGTGTTACAATCCCTTCCCATCCACCTTCTGTCTGCTGTCTCCCTTCCCAAAACTGTGGTAAAACAAATAGAAAAGCTAGCTGCTAATTTCTTCTGGGGTATGGAAAAGGATAAAAACAAGTATCATTGGGCCTCCTGGCAAAAACTATCCAATACTCTAGATGAAGGTGGCATTGGCTTCAAATGCATTGAGGATGTTTGCAGATCCCTGGAATTCAAGCAATGGTGGTGGTTCAGAACTAAGCAAACATTGTGGAGTGATTTTCTGAAAGCAAAGTACTGTCAAAGATCTCACCCTATCTCTAAAAAGTGGAACNATACATCGACTTGGACAATGAGTACGACCACTCCACAGTATGGGGCAAGCAACACATGTACATTCAAGGGCAAATGATGAAGCTGGAAGCATGGACCCCTGCATTTAAGCCCAATGAGGACTCACCTATTGTGCCTATATGGGTGGTTAAACCTAAACTACCTTGGCACCTGTATTACATGGAGATCCTCACTCCCTTGCTATCACCTATTGGCAAAGCTTTATATCTGGACCTGACATCCTTTCAGAAGACAAGAGGAAGTGTGGCTAAGGTTAAGATACAAATTGATCTCACCAAGGAAAGGCCTCATCATGTTTGGCTTGGCTATGATGAAGAACAGGATGTGAATGGTGATGGGGAATGGTTAGAAGTTCAATATGACAGTGTTCCAGCCTACTGCACACATTGTAGACATCTTGGTCTCTCTAAGTACATTTGTGAGGTCAGATTGCAAGATGCAGAAAGAAAGAAGAGGAAAGAGGAAGAAAACAAAGCAAGCTCTTCCAAGGGTCAAACCAAAGAAATTGTAGGTCCTATAAGAGGAACACAACAGCAAGCATCTACCCCTCTTGAATCTGTACCAAAAGTAAACCATCAAGAGGCAGAACACCAAAAGAATTCAGAACACCAAAGCAAGGGCAATGAACCCTCCAAAGATAATTGGCATACTCAAAAAAGAAAGAACCTCAAAGGCAATTCTCAGAATAACAAAAAGCAGCAACAGGTATACCAACCAAAAACAACTGCTGAGCAACAAGCCCAAGCACCAAATAAAACAGGTATGTCCTCTATCAATCCTCCAGCTCAACTGGAGAGGAGTGAAGATTCTGGTGCTCAGAATCATCCCCTTCCCCCTACTCCCCAATCTATATCTGTTTCTACTGCTGCTATGGTTGAAGGAGGAAAGGAGAAAAGTCAGGAGACACCTATAGTTAGACAGGATGGGGTACCAAATGGGGTGGGTTTTCCTCATGTTTTGCATGAGTGTGCTGAGGCACAATTGATTGACCATAGGAATGACCTATCATCCCCTGCTACCACTACAACTGCAGATGTCAATGCCTCTGATCAACATGTTGAAGTAATGAGCTCTGATGATGATCACACTCTTCTGAATGATGATGACTTAAGGAAACTGGCTAAAGGAAAAGCACATGTAGCTTCAGACTTCAGCATCCAACCACCAAATCCAGAAATAAGCCCAGTCAGAAGAAAAGGCAAGCTATGAGAAGACAAAATGCAGGGATCACTATCAATGAACCTTCTGATTGTCCCAGCATAAGGCAGAATCATGATCCTGTCCCTGATCCTTCCTTATCACAGCCCCTGTTGGGTACCTCTGCTCAGAATACAGCTACTAACATTGCACCCAACACAGTTCTTGCACCCAACACAGTTCTTGCATCCACCCCTCTTGCATCCACCCTTCTTGAGGAAAACCTGCACTCAGCTTCACCTGCATTTGATGAATACAGACCCATCCTCTCTGAAGATGAGATAGTGAAGGTATAGAGGAGAACAATGAAATGAATGAAGTATCAGATGATGAGGAACACTATGAATTACTTGTCTCTGCAGTCAATGGTCCTCCAGATAAAGAAGAAACCAGACCTTCTCAGAGATCCAAAATGAGGCTTCCACCAAGACTCACTAGGAACAGAGCTGTTTCAAGTAGCAGTGTCCCACCAAACCATAAACTACCCTCTCCATTTTAATGATCAGTACCCTCACTTGGAATGTAAGAGGCATCAGAACTGCTGGTGTCATTGAACTAAGAATCCTCAGAAAACTACACAACATCTCCCTTATTGCTGTCCAGGAACCTTTCCTGGATGACACTTATCTCAACAACTTCAAAATCCAACTGTCCATGCACTATGCAACCTCCAACACCAACAACAAAATCTGGGTTTTTTGGAACCAGGACTTCACTGGCTCAGTTATTAATTCAGATGAGCAGCAAGTCACCTTGGACCTAAAACATGTTGAGGCAAGTGAAACCTTTCACATTTCTGTCATTTATGCCAAATGTAAACCTATCCTGAGAAGACCTCTATGGGATAGTCTAAGGCTAAAAGCCCCTGCAACTGGTGTGCCTTGGTGTGCTATTGGGGACTTTAATGTCATTGCCTCTATTGAAGAAAAGATAGGAGGTCATCCTTACCAAATCAACAAAAGCATTGATTTTCTTAGCATGATGGAAGATTGTGGTTTCACTGACCTAGGTTTCTATGGACCAAGATACACTTGGTCAAATGGAAGAGGCCCTTGTGCCATTGTTTGGAAAAGACTAGACAGGGGTATGGTCAATGACAACTGGCTGACATCATTCCCAGCAACAATAATTTCTCACCTGGCTTCAACAGCATCAGATCACTCCCCTCTGCTTATGGAGATGCATGTTAGGCTTGAAGGTGCAAAGAAGTACTTCAAATTCCTGAATTGTTGTACTGAAAATGCATCTTTCCTGCCTTTAGTCCAAACAGTCTGGGACAAACAAATTCAAGGTAATGCAATGTGGATCTTTCACCAAAAAACAAAAGCACTGTGTTCTGAGTTGAGCAAATGGTCAAGAAGGGAATATGGGGATATCTTCCAACAAGTCAAGGAATATGAATCTAAAGTTATTGCAGCTGAAGAAGTCTGGGCTCACACCAATAATCCAGTGGACAGAGAAGTCCTCCATAATCTAAGAGCTCAATATGTCAAACACCTGAAAACTGAAGAATCTGTTCTGAAGCAAAAAACACAGTTACAATTGTTTAAAGAAGGAGATGCTAATTCCAAGTACTTCCACAGTCTGGTCAGAGGGAGAAGAAGGAAGCTTTTTATTCACCAGATCAAAAATGAAGAGGGGGAGTGGATACAAGGTGATGAACCTATTAGTAAAGCTGCTTGTGAACATTTCCAAAATATGTTCACTGATCCTGGTGGAACAATTAGGGAGGACCAGTTATCTTGCATCCCATCCTTGGTTACACATGAAGACAATGAGAACATCAACAAAGAACCCACAATGGAGGAAGTTAAAAATGTGTTTTTTTCAATGAACCCAACAAGTGCAGCAGGGCCTGATAGACTAAATGGCAAATTCTACCAGCACTGCTGGGAGATTATCAAGCAGGATCTGGTAAATGTGGTGCTGTTTCTTCTGTGGTCACTCTATGCCTAGGTTCATGACCCAAGCATGTCTAGTCTTGCTCCCAAAAGTTGAGTTCCCCAATTCCTTAGCTGAGTATAGGCCCATAAGTTTGAGTAATTTCATCAATAAAATTATCTCAAAGCTTATCTGCATCAGAATTACCACAATCTTGCCCAGAATCATTTCTCCCAATCAAACAGGCTTTGTTAAATGGAGAAGTATCTCAGAGAACATCACGCTTGCTCAGAAAATTGTTTAAGGAATCAAGAAACCAAACACTGGTGCAAATGTTGTGATCAAACTGGATATGGCAAAAACATATGATAGAGTGTCTTGGTCCTTCGCCTGCATCATGTTGAGAAGACTTGGGTTCAGTGAATTTCTCATATACATGGTTTGGAGAACCCTTTCAAACAACTGGTATTCAGTCATTGTAAATGGAACAAGATGTGGTTTCTTTCACTCAACAAGGGGGCTGAAACAAGGAGATCCCCTTGCCCCAGCTTTGTTCATCCTTGGTGCTGAATTACTATCAAGGATGCTGAACAATCTCACTCATGATCAGTTCTTTAATGGCTTCTACATGGAGAGAAGAGGTCCACAGATAACTCACCTGAGCTTTGCTGATGACATTATCATTTTCACATCTGGCAACAGATATTCCCTTCAGAAAGTTATGGAAATTCTGCAAGCTTATGAAAGCACCTCAGGCCAGTTGATCAACCAGAACAAAAGCCATTTCATGACTTCTCCATGTGCTTTTCCTTACACCATCAGAAGGATTCAGCAGATTACTGGGTTCACAAAGAAAGAATCTCCTCTTACATACTTGGGATGTCCTCTGTATACAGGAAGAAAGAGGATTGTTCATTTCAACCCCATCATTTCCAAAGTTGTGAGCAGAATTAGAGGTTGGCATGGTAAACTCTTATCATATGGGGGCAGAGCTACTTTGATCAAACATGTGCTACAATCCCTTCCCATCCACCTTCTGTCTGCTGTCTCCCCTCCCAAAACTGTGGTAAAACAAATAGAAAGGCTAGCTGCTAATTTCTTCTGGGGTATGGAAAAGGATAAAAACAAGTATCATTGGGCTTCCTGGCAAAAACTATCCAANCCTGCCATAGCAGATTTCAGGCTGTCCTTTCACCTTTTGGACAGCCTTTAGCCCACAAATTCAGCCTCTTTTGGACAGATTTTTGGGGAACCAAAATCTGTCCAAAAAGTTGGCTTTTCTTTGCCTATTTGAGGGCTGCCCTTTCTTCATTATAAAGATACTCCAACACACTACAATTGAGAAGGAAAAACACACAAAAACATTAAAAAATCAGCACTTGAACACATGGAAAGTAAGCTGAAATGGTGAGCTTTAGGAGTTGATTTTAGAGTGCAAACTTTTAGAAAAGTATAAGTCCTCTTTAGAGTTCGTTTCTGGGTTTCTCCTCTGAGTTTTCGGGCCGTTTTAACACGGATTTGCTGCTGATTTTGCTGTTGTTGTGCTGCTATTTTTTATGCTGGTTGAATTGCTGGACTACCATTTATTCTTTTGCTATTCAGGTAATCCTTTAAGACTCGTAATGTATGTATTTTTAGCAATGGGAATAAGTTGATATGTCAGTAGTTTTATGGATTTTTAAGCATGTTTTCAAGCTATTGTATTTGAGTAACAATGTTAAGTATGCCATGAATGACTTTAGATGTATAACACATAGCATGAGTTTGTTTTTGTTGCTGAAATTTCAATGCAACATTGCTTCTAGGATTGCTGTTTTTTTTCTCGAATCTGGCCATTTTTGCCATTTTTGCAAAAGTGGCTATTTTTGTAAAGTGTTTTCTTTGAATCTGGCCATTTTGCCAGCTTTGCAAAAGTGGCTATTTTTGTAAAGTGTGTGTTTATACAATTGTGGCTATGTAAGTTAATGGTCATAAATGCAAACTAAGTTAAAGAACCAATATTGTATCAACTTTGGGCCTTTTGAACCAAAAAATAAAAGCTGGCCCATTTACCTTAAACAACAAAATTACCCTTTTCTTCTATATAGCATTGGGCCAATAAAAATCCATTTCTTGGCCTATTTTTTAGTAATAAATTCCAGCAGCCCAAAAGGTCTTTACAAGCTGGCCCATTTCCCCTTTTAACAAAGAAGTTGGCCCATCCCTTTAAAATAGATAGAGTTGGTCCAACATTTATTTGCATAATATTTTCAATAATAAGATTAGAAAAATAGAAATAAAAATCAGATTTTTTTTATATACCAATTAAGTAACTCACTTTCTTTCAATTAATTATATCGAACGCTAGGCAATTAGTAGGTGCGCTCTAATTCCACGGTTTCGCTTGCGTAACGTGATGTTCAACATTCAATAATTTAATTCAACAAGGTCATACAATATTCGTTAGTTTTCCAGTTGATTTTTAGTTTAATAAACTCTTTGCCAAACTCGCGGATTCGCTTGCGTAGCCTGATAATTGACCTTTTAATAAATTTCAAAAAAAAATTTAATAATTAAACTCTTAGAATGTATTAATTTTCCTAGAAGTAAATAACTTGCTCACAATTGTTTGTCATGACTGCGGATTCGCTTGCGTAGCGCCGTTATGATTAAATAATAAATTTCGTCGATCACGCATTCGCTTGAGTAGCGCGACGGTTGACTTGTAAATTTTAAAGAGCTAATTTTCTCAAATGTAGTATTATTTTTTTAAAAGTATTACAAATAATTGATTGTCATGATTTCGGATTCGCTTGCGAGGCACAATTATGACAAATTAATTAATTATTTTTTATTCGATCACGCATTCGCTCGCGTAGCGTGGTTATGATATTTTTTTGTATTATTCAAAAACATTCTTTGATTTCTCTAATAATCAAGAGATAAAAGCGGATAGGTACAAAATGAAAATAATATAAATCACAGTTTGTCCAAAATTAATTCAAGCCAAGTTTAAGTCAATAAAGCGACCGTGCTAGAACCACGGGACTCGGGGAATGCCTTATACCTTCTCCCCGGTCAACAGAATTCCTTATCCGAACTTTGTTTTCGCGGACCGATAAAAATAGAGTCAAACCTTCCTTTGACTAGGGATTCAAATAAATGGTGACTTGGAACACCGAAAAAATCAATTCCAAGTGGCGACTCTGAACAATAAAATAATCCCTACTCAAGTTTTTGTCACTTTAATTGGAAAAACTCTTTAACCCATACATATTCTTTTCGGGGGTACAAAAAGTGGTGTGACAGCTTTGGCAAGCTGAAACCCAAGCTGCTCTCACTGGTATCACTTGGTGCATGGACAATGGTTATACCGGGATTCACTTGGAAGCAGACTCCAACCTTCTGATTCAATGGATCACTAAGGTCTCAACTCCACCATGGAACATCTCTATGCATATCCAGAAGCTTAGAGATCTGTGCAACATGTGTGATTCCATTTCCTACTCCCATGTTTATAGAGAGGCCAACTACCCTGTAGACTCTCTATCCAAATGAGCCATTCCCTATCCTCCACAACTCACTACCATATCCTGCAGGACCTGCCACCCCAAATTAAAGGCCAAATCATACTTGACTTCAATGGCACCCCTGCCTTCAGGCACAAGCAGACCAGTACTGTCCATCTCCCTCCTCTTATGTCCCATCTGTACTCCAATGGTTATGGCTAAATTCAAAGGCATATTTTGGGACCAAATAATTCCCCTAATCCAAATGATCTCCAACCTCTTCCCTAGCCAGATTCACCCTCCCAATGGTCTACCTAATGTTATGTCTAAGTTCCAGTGTGTGGTATCAGCACTTTATGTGCTCTTTCTACTGGACTTTCCACAGAAAATAGGGAAGGCCAAAGAGAGTTCATGCACCAAATAGCCTCCCCACACACTCCCCAGCAAAAAATAATTTTTCTAACCATGTTTGAATTCTTGCAGGTTCAGCATCTTCATAAGCTGCTCAGCTCCTTTGTTTGGTTCAGGATGTGATGTCAGTCCTTGGGTTTCTACTCTTGAAAATTAAACAAGGAGCTGTGGTAGCCAATGGGGAGGAAGAAAACAGTCACAAAATATGGGCAGAAATGCCAACTTTTCAACTAACCCTGTGTTCTTTTGCTGCATGTACACCATCCTGTGATGGTTTTCTGATGCAATGCAGGGCCAAGGTCCTATGTACCTTTGTCCTAGCCCTCAAAAAACCCCATCAACACAGAAACTCATCCCCCTGCATCAGCATCTTCCTCTGCCCAGAATTTATACTCTCCTTTACTTCCTGTTGCAGCAGAAAATGCAGAATCTGCAGAATGATAATGCAGAAACTGCCGAAACTGTAGAACAGTTCTTTCCAACCCACAAACATTCACCCAACTCCCAGACCCCTACAATGTACAATCTGCAGGTTTCCATACCTCTGCAGTGATGCTTTCTCACCCTTTGCAATCTTCACCTTCCACAGAAATATCAGACCAATTGAGTGCAGTCTCCACAAGAACATGCACTCAATTTTTTCCTCACAAACAAGGGGTCATAATTCCCTCCTGTCCCCAGACTCAGGTCCAGCATCCACAAGAACCTGGACTATGAGCTCCCCTTTGCTAACAGCTTTGCTAATTTTGCAGGTACTGGGAGCAGACTTGACCAACTGATGCATTCCCAGTCAGTGGTATTAGCATCCCAAATACTCATTCTGCTGGGAATATATCAGTTGAATCAAGTCTATCGAACCATCTCCACATATAATCTTTGGATAACCTATTCATGGACACAATCCAAAGCATCCACAATCTCCAGGAGGCATTCAAATTGCAATGCAACCTCTCTGAAGCTGCAATACATTCAGCAGCATCACACACAACAGTAGCAACAGTCGGACAATCATGCAACATCTCCTCTTTCAACAGCCCAGCCTAGTCCTCTCACAGCAAACTTCAAGTCAAAATGGACAAAGGAAGCAGGAATTGAACCACCCCATTGCTCACTCTCATCTGTCACATCCATCAGGCAGAAGCAGCCATGTGTATTCTCCTTTTTGCTTGTTATCTT